TCCCCAGTAATGGGATAATCCTTCTGCTGCATTATTATTCTTCCTGTATTATGAATATAGTGAACAAAGAAATCAACAGCTTATCCTGCAAGCAAAATAGTTGCCAACAAGTAGCACCTTATTTTAAGATTGCTTCTGTAAATGAAAATGCTAAAATCAAAATTCAACTGATGTGCATAAGCAAAATGAAAAATAGTAAACAAAACTGGAAAAACTTTAAAATTTTGATAAGCTTGTTGGGTGCTTCTGTAATTATGAACCCTTGAGCATTAGTGAAGTTCTTGAATGTAAAATTTATTTGAAATAGGTGTCAAGCCTTAGCAAAATATAAATAATATAAATTGTCAGTATGTAGTAGTAGTAATAATAATAATAAAACCCCTCTGCAGTTCATGTTAATTTATTGACATAGAACATTTTCAGGATATAGCTGAAGTAATACTAGTATCTCCCACACTGTTCCAGGGCCACAGAAGAATGGTGTGCTGCTCCGCGTGGAGTGAGGACCATCCAATATGCAACCTGTTTACGTGTGGGTTCGATCGTCAGGCTATTGGCTGGAACATCAACATCCCCGCTTTGTTACAAGAAAAATGAAATGCTGGAAGTATTTTTGCAGTTTATGTTGCCATGGACTTTTCCACTTCTGCAGACTTTTCTGAATACTGGTCTGCTCTGGCTGTAAAAGCTCATCCTTAAGTGGAGAATTTTGCAAATGTTCTTGTTACCACATTGTGCACAGTTTGCATGAGTTGTACAGAAAATGTGACTTTTTTTAAATATTTTGTCTTGTGTATGAACTTTTATATTTTGGCATCCACTGGTCAATAAGTTCACTGTTGCATAGAGCACATAAATGTTCATAAGTTATTTAGCATTTATTAGATAAAACAGTAGGGCATTAAATTTGTGACATGAATGTGAAAGTTACGTAGTTATTGTAGAGATTATATAGCAGTCTGTTACATTTTTCATCACTTTACATATCTGCCTTGTTAAAAAGAATTTGCAGGGCTGAAACTTTGAAATGAAGTGTGAATTTCATTAGTTGTTTGATTGTAAACATTTTTTGGTTTGCATCTGTTTGGAATTCTTTTTAGTGCTGCAGTATTGAGCAACTTAACTCCATTTTTATTCTAGTTACTGGATAAATACTAGATTGAGAAGGAAAATACAAGCAACTTACGTAGAGAGTATGGAATGCCACGTTAATTCAGGATGCTTTTTGTACTTTCGCAAACAAGAAATTTTCATTCTGCCCTTATATAAAGCTGATTCTAATCTTATGGCATTTCACACTAGCAAAAATTCCGAATATCATAGTTCTTATCACGGAAATTGTCAAGCAAATTTTGAAGCACTTTAGTTTATAGCTATTGTTATAAACCATTTATGAAAGTTTGACTTTAGCAGTGAATGTGAGTTGACCTTTAAAAGAAGGATTTGCTTCTTTATGGTGGTCTACCAAGAAATGAAATCATGGGGTATTTTTTTTTGCTGTTTTTGTTTATTTTTATATACCTACAGTGAGCATTTTTTGAACTGTGCTCACTTCCCTGATTTTTATTTTGAGCCAGCAATACAAAGTAAATGAGTACTACCTCAGAAATGAATGTTAGTCAAGATGCATTGAATCTCTATAGCCTAGAAAGAAAGCACTTTTGGTCTCTGGCAGAAGTACTGTCTCTAACATGAGAGGAAAGACAATCATACTAAATGTGATCTTTAAGATAATTAACACTTAAAGCTAATGGAGCAATACGATAAGTAAACATCATCTGTCACCTTTGTGTTCCCAGCCGTGGCTAGGGCTGCTGCAGTCCCTGTTCTGAACCAAAAGGGGAATAATTATGTAGGTTTCCCTTCCTTCTCCCAAATGATATTACTCTGGTTTTTGCTCCTCACTGTGTTTTAGGCTGTTTTGCACTGGCAGCATGGTGTTATACCACAGCTGTTGATGGTATAAGTAAATGCAAGTGGCAGCTGACATCTTCTGCAAGAACAGAAAGACTGCTCAGACAGACACCTCCTTTTGCCCAAAGGGAGATACTGCCCTAACTGTCTGACATATCACAGGATAAGATAAAGGGTTAGAGTAATCCAAGGGTGTGCTCTAATAATAGGATTCATGGAGTTTAATACCGTCAGATAAAAAGTATTATGGATGCGTAATCATATTCTTCTTGCTGTGTGAAGCTCCAGTTGTGCTCAGGTCCTCTGCCCCAGTGCTCATAGTGACCGTGAGGCTGTTGGGTGAACTGGTCCTCTGAGTAACTGGTGTGTAAAGGTAAGGAGGGGAATGGGAGAGCGGATTGAGTAACTGGGAGGAAAAAGGGAGCCCAAAAGTGTTTTGGAGCATAAGTCTGAGAGAGAGAGAGAGGACCGAGGAATTTAATAGAGAGTGTGTGTGGTATCTTCATAGCACAGATTGTCATAGTACTGTGATCTTAAATCCCATTTTTGTTTTGAAGGCAGAAGATAGATAAAAATCTGATATTTCACAATTGTTTCAGTACCAAAACTAGTGAGGGTGGGGAAAGCAACTGTAGACTTGATTCTGGTTATCAGCATACCTAAAGATTGCTGTTTATTTTCACTTTTTTTTAACAAAACGGTTAAAAACCGTTTAACATTGGGCTGCAGGTTTTATTCTTTAGGAGAAAAAGGCTCACTTTTAGTATTTGAAAAAAAAAAAAAATTAGTGCAGGTTGTTGCCATTTAAAAACGAGAGAAGTGTCTTCAGCCAGGAGAAGCAGTGTCTTCAGGGTGGCCTGTGCCCTGCATCTTGAGGAAAGATCAACCCCTTGGCTATCTGGGGTGGGGAAAGGGTCACTGGTTTTGGTCCTGCTACACTAAATTCTTGAGCTGCTCAAATACCTGTGTCACACAGGACCCCTAGACTCTATGCAGTTTAATCATTTTGCTGCAGACCTTTTGTATCACGAGAGGGACCAATCTCTGGCACCAGGAATGGCTTTCACTTTGAGGGGGTAAAAAATATCAGTGAAGGTGCTAGAGCCACGTTCTTATGTGCAGGCTAATACTTAATCAGCTAAATACTAAAATATCTCTTAGCTTAACTTTATAGACTGTATGGAAGTTTGAACTGAGGCCATCAGTCCCCCCGAGGCAGATCACACGTGAGCTGTGATAGCGAACGATGTTACATTGGCTAAGCACGTGGAAAACATTTCATGGCTTTGAATGCTCTAAAGAGAGCTCTTCAGCACTGAACAGTGTCCAACATTTCATAAAATGGAGGAGAGTTGCAGTTACAATTTCAGTATTGTTGCGGAATTTCATGGAAAATTCATTGCTGGGCAAAATCGAGCTTTTTTTATGTCTTTTTCTCTCAAGCAATGCACATCAGTTTTCACCAATTTTGTATATATGTTAAAAGCAGAAAAATCTGGAGTGAGACATGTTATGTGTTGCCGAAATCTGTGAACAACACCTTTTTGGAAAAGAATTTATAAGTTATGTGGAACCACTTTTTATTATTCAGCTAATTTGTTTTTAGATGTAAAATGTTTTTCTTCATTATGATTCAAAATGCATTAAAACAGTCAAAAAAAAAAAAGCTTTTTTTGCAAGTTGTGGTTATTCTGTGTTGCTTTAGGATTGCAGATGGTCCTTGTCTTTCAGCTTTTTAATAGACAAATTATCTACCTATCCATTTTCCACTTTTCTTTTTGAGAAGTTTGTTTGCAGCTTTTGGAAACAAAGTGATGGGCACAAATCTTTTGGAGGAAGGCTGAGTCTATGACTTTCGTGGTGCAGTTGCTTATCCTGACAAGTAAGTATAGCAACCAAAAGGTACAGACCTGCATTTATAGTCATATTCCTCATGTTCATTCATATTGCTTGTAAAAGCAATTTTGTAATTAAGTTTTACTATGCAGGTTATGCAAGTCTCTGTGACCTTCCATAATCCTATATAAATTGATTATTTTTAATGAAGTCTAAACCATAGATATTATACAATGTATATGTTTAGAATACTCTAAAAATATTTCTTCCAAAGTACTAAAAGTTTTATAGAATTTTGCTTGTGGGGCCAACAATTAATGCCACTGCTGTGCACATCCCATGTTTTCCTTGTTAGGGATCCTTTAATGACACGTTTTAAAGACTTTAAGAGAGCCAGTGCTCTGGAAAATTATTCTTACTTATAGTATAGCTTAGAAATCAAAGACCAAAGCTGTAAAGTGGTGAAACTAAATTGGGGACTGGATTGAAATAAACCCCCAACCTTATGTTTTTAATCTCTTTATATGGCGTTTAAATGAAGTCCAGACTTCTGCAATTGGCTTAAACATGTGGTATTTGTAACATCTTTAAATTATCTAAAGGCATAAGTTTCATGTACTTAACAAAGGCTTTTATTAATCTGTTAAATATTAAAATGTTAAAATCCCTCCTAATATTAAGATGAACATATGTGCTGAAGCCTGATTTTTAAAACTGAATATATAACATGCAAAAATAAGTGATTTCACTAGCATGTCCGTGCTCTAATTTTGAGAAGAGCAGCAGAGGAATTAGCTTTGCCATCACTGTGTGCTCTTTGGACCAGTGTGGAATTTGTATTAAATGCTCTACTGAGACTAAAATGTGTCACTGAAAAATTACTCAGCCTTGTGATATTTTAAGTCGCGTTGTTACCTTTGCTGATTCCCACAGGCCACAGTTTTCAGAATGTAAGTAATTTACAGGATTTTACAGCAGAAATCTCATATAATTCAGACCGTAAATCCTGGTCAAAATGTGACAGTGACTGGGAAAGTTGTTGTACTGGGGAAGTGTGTTTGCAAATGGGTCGTGGACGCTGCTTGTCAGTGTCCTCATAGGAAAAATGTTAATTTTTGTTTTTCTATATTGGAGCACGGGGCTGGTGAGTATCATGAGGATTTGCAGCCCCAAATCATGGTGCCCACAGCAACAGTTTGGTTCCTAGATGGATTTTTCTGAAGGATGGTTCAAGGTTCTGTGCAAAGACCAGAATTAGAGCATTATGACTTCCTGCGAAAATGGGAATGGAAATTCTACATCCAAGAGGGCATGTAGAATAGAAGAGAGCTACCAAGTAAATACATAGATTATGTCAGCGTGATGCTGCTGTTGAGTAAGGTCTGAGTTCTAGGGGGGATGAAACTTCACCTTTTCACTTTCTTGAGATAACAAAATTGCACTATATATATATATATATATTTACACACAAACATATACATACATATACACACTCCAAAGGATATAAACAGTAGCAATCTTGGACAAATATGATGTCTTGTGCCATCAAAAATCATTAGTCAGTGAAAGAGGAAGAAGGGGATTAAATAATTAGGGAACTTCATCAAATTAACACACATAGATGTGTTAGAACCTAGGATTTTTAATATCCTCTTAAGTATTAAGTGCGGGTAAAATCTGAATTTTTCTGTTAATTTTTAATTATTATCTTTGCTGTTTGACTAAGAACTATCCCTATGTAGATGCCAAGCTAAAGCAAAGTATTTTAATGGAACAATATGTTCTCTGATTACTGGGCGTACAGTGAAGCCAGCAACCCTGCAAATAAGAAAAACAACCCTGAAACAGTAGCAGTAAACAATGCTGGAATCAAGGCGACAGTGTGACAAAAATCTGAAGTACAGGGTTAAAGCAGCAGGCAGAAGGCAGGGTAACGAAGGAAAACCCAAACTTTTCAGCAGCAGCTTCAGGCGAGGGGGAAGCAGTGCCGTTATCACTGTTAATTAGGAATGTTTTTCAGTGTGGATAATTGTGGGCCATGTTGTTTTGGCCTTTCATGTTTTCTGAAGCTTGAGAAAACTGGGGACGTTAGAGGGCTGTCAGAAAGTTAGAGGCTCTAGTTGAGTGATGTGCCTGCCACAAGTGCTGAACTCCCATCAGCTCCGTTTCCTCCGATGGCTGGTTAGTAGTTTGGAAAATCAGATGCGTGTGCTCAGATATAGATTTAGAAACTTCATTTTAGGTGCCTGTTTTTGAAAGCAATTGCCTTATTTTGTGTATACTTTATGTTGTTACTGAATTAATGTACTGAAAAGTTCTTGGGTGCAGATGCGTAGTTTACTGAAATGTAAGAAAAGAGCAAAGATATTTTTCCATTCCAAGTTATATAAAGCTACTTGGCATTTAACATTAGAGAACCGAAGCTGCATTGCATCAATTTCAAATATAGCTATTTTCTGATTAATGTCATAAATATGTTCTTTCAGATGCTTGTCATTCCTCTTGCAAAAATCTCTTCACTAGGGTATGAGTTCCAGCATGTTTTTTCACAGTTGAGGGAAACGGCAAGTTTAGCTAAAGATGCTCTGAGGAAAACTGGATGATGTAAATGTTGCATTTGCGGCTAACATCTGCTTTGTTACAGATCCCCAGCAAGTCCCAGTTGCCTGATTTGGGGGATTGAACTCGCACACACTCAAATATATACATATGTTAAAAATAAAATTAATTTTAGAAATCAAATATGAATGTGTGTGTATTTATAATACCCTGACCATTGCAACTGAGGTTGTGTTTCTGAGAAACCACTTGCATGCTCAGTAGGGCTGCAGCTGGATCTCTCTCCTGCACTTGAGGAGCTCCTTGTTCCCGAGAGCAGAGCAGGGTGTTTTTGAACAACTGATGCAGAAACTATAACTGAGCATACATTTTTACACATTGCAGCTCAAAAGCTTAGAAGCATTTATCTTGCATGACATAAAAGTAGTTGACTAGGGAGAACTCTGACGATTGTCCCTAAACGAGAGAAGCAGTGGTGCGTTCCTGGAGATGCTCCAACTGAAGGGAAGCAGGAGCAGAGCAGAGGGAAGCAGGTGGCTTTCGTGCATGGAGGTGCTCCTGATGGGCATCTGTGGCTGGCCTCGCAAGGGGCACCAGAGGACAGATGACTGGGAACACAGTGTTCACGAACAGCCTTTGCTCACGCTGTTGTCGATGCAGAGGAGAGACCCTCGAGCAGCGATCGCTGTATCAGAGACTGCAAGAAATGAAGCTGAACTTTAACTTGTGTGTGAGAGAAAGATGGAGCTGCGCAGTGAAGGGAAGGAGTTGGGCAGTTGCTTGGGTGAGAGAAAACAAGAGAAAAGAGCTCGAACACCTAGGAGATGTTTCAAGTGTCAGACCCATGGAAGAAACAGGCCTCCGAGATGTCATCTCTAGATGGCACTTGTTCTTTGCCCAGGAGTTCTGGTGATTAAGAGTCCCTCTTTCTGGAGAGAGGAATTTTTAAGAATTTGTTCAAGGATTTACATGGTATCTTTCATATTCAATAATTTAGACTTTATTTCCTCACACTTGAATCTTGGTGCTGTGTGTTTAATGCTTAGGGCTTCACTTCAGCCTTAGCTTGTTTTCTGATTTTATATATTCTTATCAGAATATACAAAAATTGGTTGGAAGGAACTTCCTCTGTAGGTCATTTCTTCACACATTTCAACCTTCAGACATTACATCTCTGTAGCTGTTTTTTTTTTAATACTGTACCTGGTACATCCCAGTTGACATAAAAAAAAAAAAAGAAAATATATCTTCCTTACATTCATGTGCAAATTTCCAGTAATATTTTTAATAATTTGATTTCATCAAAAAAATCATAAATCAAAGTGTTTGCATTTGATGGTGCCCAAAGTACCAGAGAAGAAAAGAGATCAGAGAGCTCTAGGATTATGTGCAGAGATGAAGCCTGTGCAAATCTTCCAAAAGGTTCCAAAAAATCACTTCCAAAAGACAGACCTGCTGGAGCAGCACAGACAGGCAGGAGTTGGGAGAGGACAGTTATGAAGTTAAGACATGGCAAATTTGCCAGAGGATGAGCAGCATGTTGGGTGTCAAAGACATAACCAGTGCGAGGGGGCAGCGGGGGAATGGGTTGCTCTCTTGGACGATAAATGAGGAAATAAATCATTGCAGACTGTGCAGAATTTTAGGGATGTGACAGTGGCAGATGCCAGACAGGAGAGGAGGACATCAGGTAAAGTGACTGTGCCTAGTGAGGAAGGGGAAGAGAGGAGGAGTCAGACTAGGAGCTTGTGGGGGCTGAAGAAAATATTGTTGTGGGAGAAAAAATAAAACAGGAGAAAAAGGGAGGGCGCAGAAAGCAAGAGCGTGGATAAAAGAGGATGTAAAGGAGATGAACTTAAGTCAGTAAAGGAAGTGAAGAAGTGAGAAGAAGAAAAAAAAAGGAAAAATCTGAGAAACAAT